TGCCGTGGTTTCTTTTACATAGTGAAAATAGTCCTCTTGTTCACTAGATTCTTGAGAATAAAATGTTCCTTTTAATTTTTTAATTTCTGAGGACAATTTTAAATGTAATCCCTAACAGATAATTATTTAAATAAACAAAATTTGTGTTTTCACATCTGTGTATTACACCACTATCCCTCAGCATGAAATACAGACATACCTATTTCTGTGCAAACTTAAAAAAAAGTTGGATAGAGGCTTCCTGTCTGAGATGCTTTTAAAGGCCTCTGCATATGTTTGTTTACAGTTTGCTGTTTATAAGATTATTTTTGCAACTGTCCTATAAGATGAAGATGAGTTTCTTGCCTCTTTTGCTGAAATCTCTCCAAATCATCTTACTTCTTTAATATACTTTCCTCTACTTCCATGTCACTTTGTCTGGGTCCATATTATATATGGCGTCTACCACCAGGTTGCTTCCTAATTATTCATAGGTTAGGCCTCCATGTGAAAGCATCGTGCTGCTTGAGGGCCAACGCCTTATTTTGTTCTTAGCTCGTGGCCATGTTGGAAAAGCCCCAGAATGAAAGGTTCTACTCTGGGACTTCTCATTCCCAACCCTTTGCTTAGAGGGTTTTTTGTTTTTTTTTGAGACGGAGTCTGTCTCCTTCACCCAGGCTGGCGTGCAGTGGTGTGATCCTGGCTCACTGCAGCCTCCACCTCCCACATTCAAGTGATTCTTCTGCCTCAGCCTCCCGAGTAGCTGGGACTACAGGCGTGTGCCACCATGCCTGGCTAATTTTTTGTATTTTTACTAGAGACGAGGTTTCACCATATTGGCCAGGCTGGTCTCAAACTCCTGACCTTGTGATCCGCCTACCTCAGCCTCCCAAAGTGCTGGGATTACAGACATGAGCCACTTCACACAGCCTTTAAGGTCATTTTTACTTAAGATTGAACCTTGGGAAAAGATCTCTCAAGATCACTCTTACATTTCCATCACATTCAAGAGTGTAGACCCTAAACTTTGTACATGCTATAGGTTTTCTCCTGCTGTATGCTATATACTATAGGTTTCTCCTGATATATACTATAGGTTTCTGTGCTGTTTAAACCAGGTTTTGTTCTAGTGGCCTTCCTGTAAATTATTACAGGTTGAGGATTACCTATGGGGAATTCTTAGGTCCAGAGGAATTTCATATTTCAGATTTTCTTGGATTTGGAAATATTTACATTATTCCAGTTCAGCATGTCTAATATGAAATCTAAAGTGCTCCAGTGAGCATTTTCTTAGAGCATAGTTTGTGTCAGTGCTTAAAAAGTTTCAGATTTTGGAGCATTTCAGATTTCAGATACTTGGATTAGGGATACTCACCATGTAGTTACTATGGAACATGAAGAACACCAGCGGAGCTCTGCAGTGATTTATAGCTTCCAGTCAGTTTTCTGGACTACTTTCAGGATTTGTTTTCTTTACGAAGAAAACAGTTTTGGAATGGATTCTGTAAGTACATTAACAAAGCATAAAGGCCTAGCTACCTTTTGTTATTTTCAGTGTTGGTATTAAGTGTCAGCTAAGAAAGGATATTTAGATCAAGGACCTTGCCTGTGATACTTGGAGTTCAAGTTGCTGGGAACACCTGGCAATGGGAAGCTCTCACCAGCCAGCCTCGGACGGACGTGAGGTCTTGAAAGAGCCAAAACCACGCCCCATGCCCTACCATCGTCTCCCTGGGGAGCAGAACACTTCATAAACATTAATTATTTGACCCCCGCTGGGTGCTTCCACGTATAAGGTAAATAAGACTGAAGGCCTTTCTTCTGCAATATAGATGAGGAAACATCAGCCCAGAGAGGGAAATTACTTGATCAGAGAGGAGCAAGCAGGCGTGGGCCCCAGGGTGTTTGGAGTCTCAGTAGCTGACCTGCAGCAGCAGTGGTGGCTGCTGACACCCAAGAGACACAGTCCTGTTCGGTTCCCTTTCTGCTTCTCAGAGAGTGGTGGGGGTTGGGCCTTTTGTCTCTTGTGTGGAATGTGAAATGCTGCAAAGACGAGCAATTGTTCTTCAATGCTTTGTGCTCCCCTATAAGAAAGAAGAAATCAATACACATTTTCTCATACACACACTTGGCAGCGCTCTGCCTCCTCTTCCACAGCTCGGTCCTACAGAGGGAGGCACAGCTATGCAGCCAGACAGACTCTCCAGCGTTCAGGGGAAGAAATGCAAACTGCTCACTTTGCACTTAGCAGTCAGGATTTTTAGAGCCAACCATATAACTGGCTGAGGTAATCAAACTGCTGGCTTCAGGGACTAGTTGGTGAAACTGGCATGGGAGAGACCCTGTTACAGACCCCCTGTTGCAGGCCTGCTCAGTGCTGCTGCCGAAAGCCCACTGGCAGGTGTCTCGGACAAGTGCTCCTTTTGCTAAATTTCTCTCTATATTGCAGAGCCAGGGAGGAAGTTCTTTGAAGGGTACTATTAAAAACTAAAAAGTATGGACAGCCTTTAGAAAAAAAAAATCAGTTAATAGGCATACAGTCCAAACAAGAGCCCCATCTCAGACTGGATTTTATTTTTTCATCAGAAAATATGATATCTATATCTGTAATTTTGTCTTACAGCTCGCTGTCATTAAACAGTTGTGTGGTATGTGAATAAAAAAGAATTTGCTACCATTATTAGGAGAAATGGCAGCTTGGGTGTCAGGAGAGCTTTCCAAGATAGGAGATGAGTTCAGGGCTCGGGAGTGCGGGAGAGGGTTGTGGGGTCCTTTGCACAGAGGAGACCATTAGACCTTTAGAGTGTGTGGGGAGTCACCAGGGGAGCATGTCGAGAGGGGGGAGGAAGCCGAGAGCAGAACCTGGGAGAAGGAAGGCAGAGGAGAGCCAGGAGAACACATGCTCCTTGAACGCTGGGGAGGAGGGTCCTGGCGGGGCAGCTGGCCAGCAGCTGGAAGGGCATGCTCCTGAGGCCCCAGCCGTCCTCTGTGTCCTGACTCGCATTGCGGAGCTGGCACTTTGTATTTGCCCACTCGGTAGTGCTCTTGTGCACTTAGATTGGTACCGGATTTCTAAGCAAAACAAATCCTCCCAACTTTACCAGAAGTAATAGCAGAGTACCTTGCTGAAACTCTGTGGGTTGACATTGAATACCCTCACTAATTCCTGCGTGTTTTGGCCCCAGAAAAGTTGAAGTTAAGCTAGAGGTGAGTGATGTATCCTGTGCGCCCCCAACACACACACACAGACACACACACCCAAGCCCTGGGTTGTTGGGCAGCATCCTGATACGGATACAAATGTAACTGGAGTGTCAGTCTCACCTTCTGTGTGGTTGGAGGAAGTGATTCACGTCTAAGCAGTGAAGCATCCCCTGGCTTTTAACAGGAGCTGTTAGAGGGGCTGCTGTTTGAACAAGGAGCTTCATCTTCCTGAAGCCAGCAGTCACAAAACCGTAAACACAACACTGGCCAACTCTATTGCGGGGACCGTGGTGGTTTGACGTTAATATTAAACATCTCCAGCAAGGCAGAGAGCTCTGCAGCCCAGCTCCGGAATAAAAATAAATAAAAATAAAGAGAAACCCTGCTAAAAGCAGTGTGATGATTTGTCGTCTTTCCTTTGTGAGGCCATTTGTCTTCTCTCACATCAAATCTGTTATAAAACAGTCAAACTGTGAAAGTGGAAATCATCCCGGGAATATGGAATATTAATGCGCAGGAAGGAGCGGTGCCCCTTTTGTCTGAAGAGTGGCTCCTCCCCCATCCGCCCCCCCTTTTTTTGCAAGTCCACTAAGGTAAATTATTTTTCTTTAAAATAATATGGAAGATTTGAGGCTAGTAGTAGGGATGGTGGAAGTTTGGAGTGTTTTTCTTCCTTTGTGAAAGTGCAGGGGATTTGTAACCAGCTTGAGTAAGGACAAAGCACAAGTGAGAGGGAAACCTGTACTCATGCGGTCCCTTCTCGCCCCGTCCCTCTTCCCTCTCCTCCCTGTTCCCCAGCCTCTCAGTTCCTTTGTTTGGGGCCTGAACCTGCTTCTTGGAACATTTATAAATCTTGAGTCTGTCTGATCTTTAGGAGACAGGCCACAGGCCGCCTGTCACCACGTGTAATTTAGAGCTGTAGGGCTAAAAGCTTTTGCAGAGGTTTGAAGGACCTAGTTCTGACCTGACCAAAAGAACGAATTGGAACAGACCTTCTAGAGTCTCCTTCAAGCACAGGGGAGGATGGTGATGAGAGCAGACACACCAGGTAATTTATGGGCTCCCCTGACTGGTCGTTGGGTCCACTTAGAAATGAGTCATGTACTGCCACCTTGTGGTAGATTTGGGTGGCTGCGGTTTGGCTGCTTTGGAACCTTGTGAGGAGTTCAGCTAGTGTCCGATTGGACATGATTTGCCTTGTATCTAGATTTAGGTAATTACTGATAGATGAGGGGTGTCTCTGAGTTACTCTTATATTGCTGATTTGATCCTGTTAGAAATAAGTCTTAACTGGAAGAAGGTTGCTTTCTTTCCCCTCTACCTCTTTTCTTTGGTGTGTGATTTTTTTGTGGGGGTTTTGTTGTTCAGGTTCAGTTTGTTTTCTGGTTTGGAGTTGTGACGAGATTTCAGGAAAGAAGCCTGTGATGCTCCTTTGCTTGTTGGGGGATAAGAGGAGAGTGAGGGAGACCTAGTACCGACTTTTGGGCCTTATTCGGAAGTCCAAGTTTTTCTTCTATAGTGATTTTTGTGTTATTCTGACTAAATACTAACTCCTTATAAGTACTGTCTTTTTACATGGATTACCTTCCCAGCAGTCCAGCCTTCTTGGGGAGCCAAGTTCTTTTTTTCTTTTTTTTCTTTTTGTTTGTTTCGAGATGGAGTCTCACTGTTTGGCCCAGGCTAGAGTGCAGTGGCACAATCGTGGCTCACTGCAACCTCCGCCTCCCGGGTTCAAGCGCTCAGCCTCCCGAGGAGCTGGATTACAGGCACGCACCACCACGCCCGGCTATTTTTTGTATTTTTAGTAGAGACAAGGTTTCTCCGTGTTGGCCAGGCTGGTCTTGAATCCCTGACCTCAGGTGATCCACCCACCTTGGCCTCCCAAAATGCTGGGATTATAGGCATGAGCCACCATACCCCCCCTGCCTTGAGGAGCTAAGTTCTAATATGTGTTGCCTGTGTGTGAGCCCGTTCCCATGATGTACACAGGGCTGCCCCTACCACATAGCCCCAGGGAGCACAGGGCAATTGCCTGCCGTTTGGACCAGTCTGTTTCTCCTTGTAGGTCAAAGAGACACTTCTCAGCTATTTTTCTCTCACTTGTAAAGTCACTGATAGAGAGTAGGATGGATTTGGGTGGGGGAAGCCAAATGAGTGATGAAAGGAGGGTACCATTTTGTCCCTAGTGTTGGTAGGGAGCAGCCATAATGCCTTCACACGGGTTCTCAGCATGTTGCTGTCTCACTCCGTTTCTCATGATTGTAGATGACGATGCCATTTATGCAATGGGGACTTTGCTTCTTGCTCTAAAAACAGTATATTGTCACCAACTTACCGGTGAGGAAGCCAAGATTCACAGGGGCTAAGTAATTTACCTAAGGTCCTAGACCCAGTAAGGACCCAAGCCAACGTCAGAACCAGCTCTGACAGCAGCTTCCAGCCCCTCCGCATTTATGATGCCATGCTGCAGGCCGTGGAACAGCATTCGCCTTGTTCTGTTTAACTATTCAAGATGTGTATTAAGCTGGCTTCTCTGTTTAAATATAGAAGAAAAGAAAGCTGCTGTCCTGTGATCTGTAGACATTTTTAAGAGGAAGTTGGAGGAGTGAGCAGCCTTTGCCCTTTGACATGTTGGTCTGCTTTGGTTTCTGACAATTAGAACGAAGGCACATGTTTTCTTGGAGAAGGGTCCCTTTGTTTGGTGCCATTAGCACGAGCTAAGTGACAGTTGGCAAGCCATCTTTTTCCGCAGACATTTGGGAGGCCCTGGGCGTACTGGCAGATAGAACAGAAGAGAGTGGAGGCCTTGGGAAGACAGAGAAGTACGAATTCAGAGTGCAGGAGAGGTGGGGTCCTGCTCCCCTGGCTTTGGCTCGCAAGGGCTACACAGAAATGTTGGGATTGGCTTGAAGGTTCTGAGGACCTTGCTTCTGGAGCTTTGGCAAAATCCTGGCTCAGAGGAGTGAGTCAGGATGGCAAGCAGGCTTGATCACAGGAGGAATGGAGGGAACGGAGGCCGCTGAACCTGGAAAGGAACAGATTTAGTTAGAGGAGCCAGGCGCGGTGGCTCAAGCCTGTAATCCCAGCACTTTGGGAGGCCAAGGCGGGTGGATCACGAGGTCAAGAGATCGAGACCATCCTGGTCAACATGGTGAAACCCTGTCTCTACTAAAAGTACAAAAAATTAGGTGGGCATGGTGGTGCGTGCCTGTAATCCCAGCTACTCAGGAGGCTGAGGCAGGAGAATTGCCTGAACCCAGGAGGCGGAGGTTGCGGTGAGCCGAGATCGCGCCATTGCACTCCAGCCTGGGTAACAGGAGCGAAACTCCGTCCCAAAAAAAAAAAAAAAAAAAAAAAAAAGAGATTTAGTTAGAGGAAGACATCAGGTAGTTGACGTGCTGCCACAGGGAGTAGTGGCCAATCTTACTTCTCTCCTGGCTTTAGTGGGACAAGAGCCCATGGCTGTGAGCCCCAGAATGGCAGAATTGGCTTCAGCAGGAGGAAGAGTGTATTTGTGTCTCCCTAGATGGAGTGGTTTGTGAGAGACACACTTAATGCATGTATTCATCTTCCCGATCTAGCTTCTGCTATGCCTTTCATGTCTTTGTAAACCTCCGCAAAATCTAACAAAGTTCAAATAAGCATTCAAATAGTTTTAATTAATTGATTATACCTGTAGTATGTTAGATTTTGAGGCCAGGAATCATATACATCTAGTACATGTTTAAGCTTCCACCACACTAAGCAAATTGTTTTCAAACACAAATGTGAAAAAAGACAGCATCGGTACATCTCCAGTAATTTTAAAAGCATGCATCTGTCATCGGCGACCACACTGGTCAGTGCAGAGCAGGCGTGCACGTGAATCTCTGCACTGACCACATCTGGGCAGATTCTCCTCGCAGGGTTTCAGATCTGATCCAGACCCTGCTAGCCATGAGTGCTGCTGTGATTGGAACCCTTTTCTGACTTGCCTGTCATGTGCTTTCTTCATTTCTCTTGAATCTTCGATGTTTATTTGGGGTTGAGTTAAGGCAGAAGTGAATGCTACAGCACTTTTGTGTGCAGTGTGGGAGAGGTAGAGGACTAGAAAGGAAAGAAGGGCCAGGACGTTCTGCCGTGTGTCTTACATATTTAGAGAGAACCCCACCCCTAAGAAGCAACAAATGAACAATTTTTAATTAGTCAAAGGCAAATTATGTGTACCATTTTATTTATTTATTTATTTTTAATAGAGACAGGGTTTCGCCGTGTTGCCCAGGCTGGTCTCAAACTCCTGGGTTCGAGTGATCCTCCCACCTCTACGTCCCAAAGTGCTGGGATTACAGGCATGAGCCACCACACCTGGCCTGTGTGTCAGGTTTAATCTGGAAAGCAGCATTATTGTCTCCGCTGGCTCCTTTGGAAGACTGGCGTGTAATACTTGCTCGGAGACTGTGCTGTGCTTTGGGAGGCTGCCCAGGCTTCTTCAGGGAGCAGTGGGATGGCCGCACTCTTCCCACTGTCCACCTGTCTTTGGCCACAGGAGTGGATAGGTACAGCTCAGGGAGGCCTTGGAGGCTTGAGGGTTTCAGGGCCAGTGCAGGAGGAGTGCGGTCTCCTGTAGAGTGGATGGTACAGCTCCTACAGAATCCCCAGTGCTGCAAGCTACTGACCTAGCAAATTGAAAGCCCCACACAGATCATTTGCAGGTTTAATATGCTCCTTTGTACTGTTTGCCAAATGACGTCGTGAAAGACAGTGATCTGTGTTGCGGTTGGGTGAGGAGTGCACATGTGGAACTGAAGGGAACATATTTGGGTCCACGTCCGCAAGAGGCTGCATTCTTATACACATACACCCCCGTTTCACTCAGAGCTTTTAAAACTTACCTGCCACTCAAGTGATTGCAGGTCACAGCCAGCTACCATGTGCATACTTTAAGTCTCTTCAGAAGAATCACAAAATAAATAAGCCAAATCCTAAGACACACACACACACACACACACACACACACACGTGCGCACACACACATACACACACACATGTACATTCTGTCTTTATGGAAAATGGCTGCTAATCCATGATCATTTTTTTTCTAGAAACAGGTTTTATGATAATATAGTAAAAATATTAAATTAGAAAATGCCTCACTAAGGGTTATAAAACCTTACTACACTAGAGATAGGTAATTATCCCCTCTACAGCCTAAATGACAGTTTAAAAGAAATAAAAATGTTAGTGCTCATTACTTGCTTTTGTAGGTTGCAATAAAGGGTAAGTTAAATTTTAATTCAAGGAAGAGCCCCTGCTATCGACCTTCTACCTCAGGTCCAAGTCCTGCTAATTACTCCAGAGGCTGCTCCCCTGCACAAAACCAGTGTAACACGTTGTCGGCAGCGCACCCTCCCACTGCCCATCAGTGTGTGTGTTGGGGGTGGGGGATTACAGATCAGTGATTCACATCTTGGTTCTTAATGTGATAGGGAGCAGGAATTATATATGTTAGAAAAAAAAGTTCATTATGCACATAGCCTTAAGGGGACCTTAGGTATGAAAGAGTACACTTACCCTGGAGAATCCGATGGAGACAAGGCCCACCTGGAGGACTGGTAGTTTAGCTTCTCCACGTGGCTAGATCCCGGTTGGGAAGATGCAGCCAGGGGACAGGTTCCTGCAGGAGAAGGCGGTGGCCCTCGGTCCCATGGCACCTTTTTGTAGCCTCGTCTTTAGTTGGAGTTTTGTTTTTCTTGTGAAGGGGTGAGGGCTATGGACGTGTTTTGCTTCTTTTCAGGATGTCTTTGCCTTTTCCTAAGCACCGAGGCACCTGCCTAGGTTTGAGGGAAGAATTGCTCAGTGTACCCTGCAGCTCAGTCTTCAGACTGGGGTATGCAGAGACTTTCCAAGGGGAGGGTGGACACAGATAGGAGTCAGTCTCTAGGCGTACACTTTCCTAAAACTGTCTGCCCCAGAGCAGGCCTGCGCTGGAGGGCACGGTCTCCTTTTACCCTCGTCCTTCTCCAGCCTTGAAAAGCCCCCCACCAGCCCGTCCTTAAAGTGACAGGGACCTCTAGCTACCACGGGAAAACCTCCAGGGCCTCAAACACAAAGACAGCTGGAAATAAGGGTACAGAGATTAAGAAAGGAAATGCCTAAGGACTAGATGACAAGCCCTGTGCGGGCCGGCTGTTCCTGTGTCTTCATCTGCAGCACAGTCGCATGAGAACATGAGTTGAATTGAGTTGTCAGTTGGTTGATCATTTGGTGACAAGTCACTATGCAATTTGTGTGTGTGTGTGTGCTGCATAATTCAGAAAGAATGAAAAGAATCAAGTGGCATTGCTGTGACAGAACTCTATCATTCCTATCTGCTTGTTTATATGGCATTTCTCAGTGCTTACGTCTTCAAAAAAGACCAAAAATAGGAATGCTGAGCCCATTTCATTCTAGCAATAAATAATATTCCTCCATGAATCCATGAACAAATGGAGGGAAAAGGCTCATCCATATCATTAAGGGGTACATTTTCAGTAACATTTTACACACGTATGGATATTAAATTTTCACTAAAATTAGAATATATTGTATCATGTTATTATATATTGATTGTATCCTAATAATAACTCAATCCAGAGGAAAATTTTAACTACTTAGAGCCTTATAACGTCAAACAATTAAAATATTTTTATGTCAGTTTTGTTGAATTTTGAAAATTTTGAAAAGTGTTTTTATTTACAGACTAATGTGGCCAAGAAGTATGATAAAGGTGATGGATAAAAGACATTCAAGCATAAAACCATTACACTAGGACCAAACTCTGTAGGGAAAAAGACAGATGGAAATAAAATTTAAAAAGAAAAAGATGCTATAAAATGTCCAAGTTAAAGAGTTTATGTGAGGCCGGGCGCGGTGGCTCAAGCCTGTAATCCCAGCACTTTGGGAGGCCGAGGCGGGTGGATCACCAGGTCAAGAGATCGAGACCATCCTGGTCAACATGGTGAAACCCTGTCTCTACTAAAAATACAAAAAATTAGCTGGGCATGGTGGTGCGTGCCTGTAATCCCAGCTAATCAGGAGGCTGAGGCAGGAGAATGGCTTGAACCAGGGAGGCGGAGGTTGCAGTGAGCTGAGATCACCACTGCACTCCAGCCTGAGCAACAAGAGCGAACCTCTGTCTCAAAAAAAAAAGAGTTTATGTGTCATTGTGTTACTTAAATGAATAAACGGTGAGTATCAAATCACTATGGCACATAGATTCCGTTGCAGGCATTACAAAAGTTCATATTCTCACAACATTCTGGTAATTATATATTTTGTAACTATTTAAACTTACTGTGAAAAACATTATAAAAATATGCAACCTTCCCTTCTCCAACCTAGCAAAGAGGCAGGCCAGCTGCTCAGGGCAGGAGCCAAAGCCAGGATATAGAGGAAGGGCTGAGGCCAAGCTGAGCCGCTGGAATCTGCAGCAGGGATGGGGTGGGGTAGGGTGGGGGAATCTTCATCCAGTGGTGCTCCTGGGCCCCAGGGAGGGTCTGCTTTGTCTGTCTCAGAGAAGGGAGTGGAAGAGTCAGCCAAGAGGCTGTCGCCATGTTTTGCATGAGAGATGGTGAGACCTGAGCTCGTGGAAGCCTGGAGGAGCTGTGAAGTTTGAGACGCTTTGAAGGTAAAAACGGTCACTAGCTGGTGGTAGTGGGTGAGGAAGACATAAAAGTAGAAATTGCTTGGGGACTTTTAGATTGAAGTAATCCCCTATTCATATTCTCTCTCTGTGAAAATATTTTAAGAACCCAGACCACTCAGCTTCCCAAGTTGCCTTGCCATGAACAGCTGCATATGTTTGTCAGCTTTGCCCACCTGAGTGTGAAATGATGTTCTATGAAAACATGGGTTTCAGCAATTCACTCTCTGCTCCTGACACGCGAACCCTGCTGCGGACAGTAACTGCTGCCTTCGGCCCCGGCGTTGCACTGATACTGCGCGCAGAGTGGAAGCATTTGCTCAGTGGTAATGATGGGGTCTGGTGCAGGCAAGCACGGCGAGGCTGGGAAGGGTATGATTGCGAAGCGCTAAATAGCATCGCGCCTCTGCATTTCCCTCTCGTCAGACGTTGTCGTCTTAAAGTCACACTGTCCTTTTGTCATGGTGACTCTCCCTTTCACACCATTTAATTTTTTCTGTGGAAATGGCTAGAGAGACTTGTCTTTATTGGCAAATAGGCAGGCCATAGTGTGATGAAGTGCAGCCTGCACCGGGCATCGGGGTGTCAGTGTCGCACAGCTGGTTGTTTGGAAGCCGGGGGTTTGCGTTTGGCCTGGGGCTGCCTTCCACCTTGGCAGGGCTCATCTGGGCTGACTGAGGGCGAGTCGCGTGGATGTGTGTAACAGAAGAGCAAAAGAGACGGGTGAAGCTCGGGGGGCACCTGTGTCCTTTGTCTGTGGCCCAGGGGCCTGCTGGGTAGTTCAGGGTGAAGGCACCAACACACTCTTGGGATAAAAATCCTGTAATAAAATTGGAGGCCTGTTGTTTTCTGGCTTGTGCTTTCACTGCCTGTCTGTCCCATGCTCCCCAACATGATCAAGCTAGCTTACATTTGTGGCTTCTGGAGTTTCTTCCTTAAGATGTTTTTCCTTTTACTTTTTTAAAGCTTTGATACTCTATTACTTTTGCTGGTTTTCTATGGTGCTTCTGTTCCTGTCCACAACTATAGTAGAGCGACTTCAAAAAAAGACCAATAGGTTTTTGGTGTTGAAGCCTTGCTGTTTGAAAGATGGGATTTTTGGTTTTGTTTTCAAAGTCAGATGTGCCGATGCTGGCCCTCAGATAGTGAGAGCACTTTAAAAAGCTTGTTTTCCTAACAAGATGGCAGGCTATAATTTGAGTTCGATCTTGAGAATATCCGAGCAGGTGTAGATTTCTTCTGGGGCTGCTGACTCCTGGCCCGTGACCTCAGCCCTGTGTGCGCCTGCCCTGTCTCCGTGAGGTCTACTGGCTGGGCCTTCTGCAGAGCGTGAACATGGATGACTGCCTCTGTGGCCACCTGCTGCACACCCACCTCCCTGGTGGCAGGGATGTCCTCACGCAGGTCTTACCTGCTTGGACCCTCATGGCTCCCTCATACCTCTGGAGGGAGGATCTGCTCTGAATCCACAGGGGAAAGGGTTCTGGAGCTTCTGTCTCAACGACAGGAAAGATCCCTACCCCATCCAAACCGCTTTCAGGATTTCCAGGCCGTGGCAGATGGCTTTGGCCAGGTGTTTGTGTGTATGTTGCCTTTCAGAGCAGGAATAGCGGTTGAAAGTTGTCATTTACTTTTCTTTTTAGGGGCCAAGACACAGTCATGTTATGATTGTTTTAATGTTAAAACCCAACTTTAGAAATAAATTAACCCATCATATGATTTATTAGACAGAATAGAGACAGGGCATCTGGGGAGTGGGGAAGAAGCTTGGTTCTCCTCCTGAACAACCGCACGGATGATAGTAATTGGAATCTTGTTGCTGGGTCATTTTCATTGTTTTTCAAGTACTGCCAAGTCCAAGAAAATGTATGAAAACTAAATTATATCCCCTACATCCCATGTCTGATTGAATCCTCCTCATCGGGTGGTGGTCTCCTACATCCTATTAAAATATTCAATCTTGTTTTCTTACTTGAAGAGCCTGTCTGCAAAGGGCAAACTTAGAGAACACTCATTCCCTGGAGACAGGTGTCTGGCCACACTGGACTATTTACATATTTTACTGTTTGATTGGGTTTCTTCCTTCTGTTGTGTTTGTGAATAAGAGCTTCGGGATGCATTTTTAATTCCATGGTTGTATTTTCAACAGAAGAAACAGATTCGGGTATTTCCCAGCTTCTGCGTTCCTTTTTAACCTTGAACAGTGAACGAGTGTGTTAACCAGTTTGCGGTGTTTGTCTTCTAGGACAGAGCTGTATCGCTCTCTTTTTGGCCAGCTCCACCCTCCTCGTGAAGGCCACGAGGATAGACATCACCCACCTCCGACACCCAGCGGCACCGTGGCTGGTACGGCTGCTCGTCCAGATGGAGGAAACCAGTGACGTTATGGGGATGCGCTAGCAGGGAAGTCCCTGGAAGGTGCTGCGTTCAGAACATGTGCCTGATACGTGCAAGGGCGCCGCCCTGTGCTCCAACCCCACCTTTAAACGTCACAAATAAAGAGCATTGTTACTGCTACCACCACTTGTGAGTTCTTAAGAGGCTGAGAGTCCGTCTGATTTGGTGCTTTAGTGGATCACACATTTATTGCGTTTTCTTTTTTCTAGTCCAGTGGCCTCTTCATACAATATCAGAGTTTACGTTTTCTTTATCCAGTCACCCCGATGGACATGCAGATTGCTTGCATAGCTTGGCTGTTCTGAGTAGAATGAGTGTGTGAGTGCAGATGTCCCTTCAACATAGGAATGTCCATTCATTCATTCATTTATTCTGAGGCAGAGTCGCTTTGTCACCAGGCTGGAGTACTGTGGCATGCTCTCGGCTCACTGCAACCTCTGCCTTCCAGGTTCAAGCGATTCTCCTGCTTCAGCCTCCTGAGTAGCTGGGATTACAGGCGTCCACCACCACGCCCAGCTAATTTTTGTATTTTTAGTAGAGATGAGGTTTCACCATCTTGGCCAGGAAGGTCTCGATCTCGACCTCATGATCCACCCGCTCAGCCTCCCAAAGTGCTGGGATTACAGGCATGAGCCACTGCACCTGGCAGGAATGTCAATTTATTTGTATATATGCCCAGAAATGAGATTACTGGATCATAGGGTGGTTGAACTTTTAGTTTTTTAGTAACTCTGTACAATTTTCCGTAATGGCTGTGCCAGTCCACGATCCCACCTGCAGCGTGCCAGCGCTGTCTTTACCAACACTGTTATCTTCCATCTTTTTTTAAGACATGTTTTTATTGCTATATAATAGTTGTACACATCTTAGGGGCTCTTCTTTTTGGTAGCAGACAGTATAACAGGCGTGAGGCAATGTCCCGTGGTGTTTCTGTGCATTTCTCTAATGATAAGTGATGCTGAGAATTTTTTAATAAACTTGTTGGCCATTTGTATGTCTTCTTTTGAGAAATGTCTGTTCAGATTCTTAGCCCATTTTTGAAGTGGGTTATTTGTTTTCTTGTTATTGAGTTGAGTTTCTTATCTATAAAGAAAATGGGGCATAGGTGCACAGTGTAATATTATTCGGCCTTAAAAAAGAAGGAAATTCTGACACCTGCGACAACGTGGTTGAACCTGGAGGACATTCTGCTAAGTGAAATGATCCAAGCACAGAAGGACAGAGACCACCTAATCGCAATTATATGTGGAATCTACAAAAGGCCGACTCAGAGGCCGGGCGCGGTGGCTCACACCTGTAATCCCAGCACTTTGGGAGGCCGAGGCGG